TGAGGTGCATCTTTCAGAATGACGTCACAGCCACTCACAAATCTGACCCCAAGGATAGTATAGACCCCGTATGTGCTTAGGTCAAGTAAGTTCCACTTGGGTGGGTTGTGGGCGGAGGTGGGGAAAGGGGGAGGGGGGGTTACTTTTATAAATTGTGACTCAAATGTGCACAAATCAACGACCACAACCGGTCAGTGTTTTTTCATTTTCTTTTTGTTTTGTTTCAATATCAGAATGCTTGTGCATTACTTCAGAGATTGCATCTTGTAATTAAACTTCTATTCTGCAATTCTGTTTGAGCTCTTAATGTGTCGTGGCTATCACGGTGCTGCAATCGGTCTTGCTGTTGTCATTTGTTTTTTGTGGGGATTTTTTTTTTCTCGGTAACCGCATGATATTCCCGATTCTAGAAAGCTAGGAATCGTAGGATTCGAATACGAACCCAATTACTTTCTTTTCTACTGATGTGATTTCTTCCGATGAGTCTTCAGGTGATTTCGGCGAGTAAAGTTTGACCTCTAGACAAATACTTATTTACTTCTGGCGAGCATTGATTACTTTTGCGAGTCCATGATTACTTCCTGTGAGTCACCTAGACTCTTACTAATTACCTAGTCGGTTCTTAGAGGCTTCGGGATTAAGTATACGATCGATTTCGAAATACGGTAAGGCACCAACCTTTTTTTTAAACAAATAATTTTAAAGAGAAAAAGAATATTTAAAAAAATATTTCCGGAATTGGTAACCGTTGGTTTACGTAAAACGAAACCGGACATATTTTCTCGTATCATTAATCGAGGGAATCTGTTCCGGAATCAATTCTTCGCCCAGCTCTACGTGATGACCAGCAAATTGTCTATGCTTGTGATAATAATACTGTGTACTATACACGTAATAGTGTATCAATAAATCCAATGCATTTGTGCATTTGTGTAATGATTTTTGCAAATGTAAAAAAATTTCGAATTGGGATAAAACAACGAAGAATTCATTAACACGCCAGCCCCAAAAAACAAACAAACAAACAATTGGGTATTGCCAGTGTCACCAGTGTGTGTTTCTGTGTGTGTGTGTGTGTGTGTGTGTGTGTGTGTGTGTGTGTGTGTGTGTGTGTGTGTGTGTTTGTTGGCGTGTGTACCGTGTATGTGCGTATGTGTGTTTATTTTGTCAGTGTGTGTGCTGTATGTGTGTGTATGTGTGTGTGTGTGTTCCAAAACAGGTGTGTAAGCAGGTATGTCTGTACTATGCCGCGCGTCCACACATTTTGCGTAAATGCGTGATTTGTGACAGATTACACAGTGCAGCAACGGATGTAATACAAATTCTAGATTTTACAAATCTACGACACAACTTTGTTATAAGCCCCC